TGCCTGATCATGGCATTGATACCAGCTTTTACCAAAGGCTCACTTAAGACTGGCGTGATCAAGTTGGCCACCGGCTCACCCGCAGTTTGAGCCAAACTCCTAAAATTATCTATAGCCGCATCCAGTTTGGGTTCTTTTGCGTGGCTGTTCCGACCTAGCCTTGCGTGCCACCAGCAGGTCGCTTTGCATCTTTGTTACCAACGGCAGACCTCCTGATATATACGCATTCTTTACGATGACCCTCTCTTGGTTGCGGATAGCAACTCAACACAAAGTTTCTGATATCCACTTCAATGTCCTTGAGATCCGCCATGACTTTGTTACCGAACTCCAGATGCCTGATCATGGCATTGATACCCGCTTTTATCAAAGGCTCACTTAAGACTGGCGCGATCAAGTTGGCCACCGGCTCACCCGTAGTTTGAGCCAAACTCCTAAAATTATCTATAACCGCATCCATTTTGGGTTTTTCTTGCTTGGGCGACTTCCCTATAAAACTCAAAACCTCAGTGCGGAGCTTCTTTGCTAGAGCCTCTTCCGCACTGGTGGTTTTAGCAGTAACCGCGCTTCCTTTCACCTCATTCATCGTAGCTCTTGAGGCTGGTTCTGCCAACAGGCTCCAGTCCTTGATGCCTTTGACCGTGGTACTGCCTTTCAATTACCCCGTCCATACATTAATAACTGCGGCCTTAAAAGCATTCATCTTGAATTCTTTCAAGTACTTCATCTTAAGTGATGGATCTCCTACTATCCCTTCTGCAAGGATTTTGAGCTGGGAAGCTGGATCCACTATTAACACCTTCAATGTCTTTGCTTCTAACAGCAAATAGGCCAATGTCCAGTCAATCGATACTCTATCCACTGGAAACGACGTACGCAGTTTGCTAGACAGTTCCTCACTGAAGTATTGGTATACAATACCATCCAAATCAGTACGACAACTAACATTGTCTTCCTTGTCCTAGGTGGTCCAACCTATGTCATTTTTAAGAGCCAGTCTCATCGGATTCCAATGCAAATGCTCCCATACGTCCTTTCGCAGCATCTGAAATCGACATGCTGCCCTAAGTACACTATTTGGTCCTTAAGCTACGAGTGTCGTGAGTAGTTGTAGTGCGCTTATTTGGAGTAAATTAGTGTACAACCTTTGTCGGAGGAAAACTGCTATATCTTAGCAGCAAAAACCTCTTTTATTGTTTGTTTACTACTCAAGTTGCAGACCCTCGAATATGGATTCTTCTATTCCCTTGGCTATAATATTTATACCATTGCCCAAGTATCAATTATCTATGCTCACCAATAAGTACAGCATGGTTCATGGGAATTGCCTTCTTTTTGCCCCAAAAAACCTCATTTTTATTCACCGATTGCAAAATCACCTTCTATTTTTACCATTTTGAAAATCACCTTCTTTTTTTACCATTTTGAAAATCACCTTCTTTTTTTACCATTCTCAAAATCACCTTTTTTTTAACCATTTTTTTTTGTGTTGTTGGCAGGTGGGGCTCTGAGCCCTTGCCAGCTAGCCCAGCTAGCCCAGCAGCCCAGCCAGCGAGCCGAGACCTGAGAGCTGGACGATCGATGTCGACTAAATGATTTATATATTTTATTTATTTTTTGTTCATCAATAAACAAAATGCTCGAGGTATACCAAACTGTGTCCGACAAGCTCCTTTCAAAGATCTTGCGTTCTACACCTGACGGTCGTAATATTATTTGCCGCAAAGCGTTCACGAATGATCAAGTTGAAAATCTCATCCGCACCGGCAACAAGTTCGTCGTGAACTGCGTCAACGACAAAGTGTGTGGTTTTGCATCTGTAGAATCTGACGACGGGCTTGCGATAATCAACCTTATATGCACAGAAATACGAGGTGGCAAGGCGATAATTGACTTTGTAGTCAGTGCATGTAAGATGCTGAACGTTGAAGAGCTCATGCTATATTCTCTCAATGACGAGCTTATTCCGTTCTATGAATCCAACGGATTTGTAAGCTCACCATATGACCGGCGCGAAATGACCATGATTTTCTAATAACTCTACATATTTTTCACGTATAAGAAAAATAGAAGATGGCGGCCTTGATCATCTTTGCTATAATAATTTTGCTCCTCGTGGTGGTTGGGGCAGTCGTTGCGCTCGTATATTTTACGTCCACCACTGACGACACGACCACAACCGAAACAACGACACGGGCAGCACCAACACGGCCGCAGACTCTACTACTACTACTACTGGAGCACTGACTAACCGATCATGTACTACTACTACTAGTGGTGGTGGCGGCAATCGTCGAAAGCCGCGCCTTGGGCTCGGTGTGTACGTTGGACAAGAGGCCAAGGGACTGGATGTGGGCTTTGAGTGGAGATACTACACCATGGCCGAGCTCAGCAGCCCCACGACCAGGGGCGAGTACAACTGGACGACCCTGGAAAAGGATCTGGCCGGCGCCAAGTCCCGTGGCCGGCCAATGGTCGTGCGGATCCAGGACCAGAGTGGCACCAACTCTGGGGACGACCAAAAGTCTTTACTGCCCCCGTACGTGAGCCAGCCGAACAAGGTGCTGTTCGGCAGCTCAAAGTTTGTGGGTGTGGACTGGTCGTCCGCGGACGTGCAGCAGTTTGAGCTCGACTTTTTCACGGCGTTCGCGGCCAAGTTCGATAAGGACACGCGAATAACGTACCTGCAAGCGGGCTGGGGGTTCTGGAGCGAGAGCCACCTGTACCACGACGGCACCGACTATATCAAGCACGGGGTCAACTATCCTTCGAAAGAGTACCAGGCCAAGTTTGTGGACCACCTGGCCGGCCTGTTCAAGTGTCTGACGTTTTCGTTCAGCATTGACGGCGCGCTCAGCGGACTGCCTCTGGACGATTTGAGGTACGGGGTCTTTAACGACTCGTTGATGGCCAAGGGTAGTAGTAGCCAGGACACTTACTATGAGCAGCTCAACTTTGCAGAGCGCAACAAGACCCGGCCCAGCGGCGACGAGTTCCCGGACTCGATCAAGACGCCGTTTGGGGATGCGGCGCTCCTGGAACGAGTCAAAAAGTACAATGTGCAGTACGTGTTTGCGAATCAGCAGCGCGAGGACTCGAATTGGGACCAGGCCGTGGCGGTGGTGATGCAGACGTGAAAAGGAAAAGATATATATATATATATATATATATATATATATATATAATAAATAAAAAACTGTAATTAAAATATGAGTGTAAAAACATTTGCCCTTGTCATTGTTGGACTGCTGGTCCTAGGAACACTTTTTGTTGTTGGTATGAGATCCTACGTGCTGACGACCACGACGACTGCGCAAGCCGAATATATAGAAAACTTGAAGAAATCGCCCGAATCATAACCGATTTTTATACCTGATTTATGAACCTGTTTTTATATACCCGATTTTTATACCTGATTTATGAACCTGTTTTTATATACCCGATTTTTATACCTGATTTATGGACCTGTTTTTATATACCCGATTTTTATACCTGATTTATGGACCTGATTTTATATAGTATGGCACATCCCCCAGAAACACTCCGAGAGCGTCAGAGCACACTTTCCAGTCCTGTGTGCTTTCGGGAAGGATAAACATTTTCTGCAGCATGTCAAACGGGAGTGGCTCCCGGACTCGGCACTGTACTGCCTGCACGTCGCCAAAAGGTCCATTTTCCTCCCGTTATAAAAGGTCCCGTACTGATTCAGCCCGTACATATAAGCATTGAGTTGCCTTGCCGAGTTGGTCGAGAACACACCAATGGTCTCCAGACGCTTGTACTCTTCGCGAAACTGCGTAGATATCCGGCAGCACGTCGGTTCTGCGAGTACCACTGCAATGAAACAGAGGCCGAGATCGGGTACGTGGTCCAGCATCTTCAGCCAATCGGACGTGCGCAGACGCGTTAGCTTGTATCAGTACAGGTAGCTGGGATTGTTGGTTGATCTTGTCAGCCGCCCCAGCTGCAGAAAGATACGCATGTTGTCGGCGTCAGCAAGTCTGAACATGCACGCAAGGAAATCGTGTGGTGCTGCAATGATTGTCTCCCAGGCTAACCCCACCAGCTCGTTCATCTCGGGACCGGCCAGATTTGTGTTCCACAACTCGACAAGCATCGCGTACTCCTCAAACAACAGCATAGACTCACGTACAAGTGTGTCGAATTCCCGTGCTGTGTTCACCGCCAGTATACTATGGTACAGGTATGGGATGCCTGTGGTGGTGGTGTTGGGGGACATCTTCAATTAGTATAAGTAGGGGCCAAATGCACCGCGAACGACCTTGACCGTCCGACTGCTGACCGTCGTCTCGACAATTCCGTTCCGGGCATTTGCCAACGGTCCGTGACGCATCTGGGAGACGAACTGGGGGCACAGGAACTTTGTGTTGTAGCTGTCCGGCAAGTACTGCTTGAGAACATTGACGCTCGCGACGTGCATGGCAATCAGGGAATTGTGGGACTCGCTGGCGTAGAACCCGCGTGCCCGAGCGGCGAAAAAGAAGGCAAACTCTCGTCGCGCATACAGGTCAGCGAAGGAGGGTAGGTTTTCTGGAATTTCTGGAAGGCCACGAAGGGAGATCAAAGTGTCCAGGATATTGATGGCTTCGTTGGTGCGAGCCAAGTCTAGTGCACTAAGAATGTGTACTCGCAAGTTCATATTTTGAGACTGAAATTTGGTATTATATACAATAACAATTTATATATGTATACTGGACAACAAGAGTAGTGAGTGCATGAGAAGGGGGTGATCGATGAACGGTGCTTAGGAAGCGTTATAGTGCCATGGGAGAGGGGGGGATATCCGTGTATATAAGGATGTCGATTTTTCCCTTTCATATCACAATTCAACAACAACGACAACAACAACAACTCCCAACAAATCAAAAAAAAATCATGAACAACAATATGTTATCCGATGCCGTGTTCGAAAGCAACGTTGAGCTGGTCAAGGAGCTTTTGAAAAACAAGAACTTGACGTTTGATCCGCGCGTGTTTACAATAGCCATCACTCTGGGGAATCTGGCCATTGTGAAGCTGCTGCTGCAGGATGGACGTGTGAACCCCACGGCCATCCACTTTGACATGGCCTGTAGCCAAGGGCGGCTGGGTATGGTGCGACTCTTGCTGCAAGATCCGCGGATCGATCCAACGGCACTTGGTGGCTCAGCGTTCATTTTTGCTGTGCGCAAGAGAAACAGAAACGTGGTTAGGGTGCTGCTTCAAGACGGCCGAATTAATCCGGGGGTAAACATCGATGCTGCCATTGCTTATGTGGTCAAACACAACTGCGTAAAGATGGCCAAGTTGCTGCTCCAGGATCACCGCGTGGGGGTTAGTCGCGTTGTGGGACGTGGACGCGAACATCTGATATCTCAGGAAATGTGGAAAATCATCAACACACGTCCGGAAATGGCCAGGCTTCCGGGGATCTTTGTACCCGGCTTTTCTCCTAAAACATACAAGGACACTGTGTGTATGGAGAAGTACCTTGAAACTGCACTCGAGACACTTTCAACGTACACTAGATCGGATGCCTTGATCTTTATTCAAGAGCGCTGTGAGCAGCTAGACTTGTACGGAGCACGCTACTTGGGAGTGTCGCCGGGTACGCGTGAGTCTCGGGAAATGGTGGCCCGGGGCGTTGCACTTGGTCTGTTTAACCACGGCGCGACAAACAGCATTGCCGGTCACACTGTTCACAGATACAATACACTGTCGTGTGTGTTGATCGATCATATACTTGATCAAAAATAAAGATCTGATTCTATATACCCGATTTAATAAACCCGATTTACATACCTGATTTAATAAACCCGATTTATATACCTGATTTTACATACCTGATTTAATAAACCCGATTTACATTCCTGATTTTACGAACCTAACTCTATATACCCAATTTATATACCCGATTTAATAAATAAATATGACTGAATACACAATAAAATGGGGCGACGATGCATTTGCGACGTTTGAACAATACAAAATCCGGGTGATGGGGCAGGACAATCGTGACACTGGACACAAGACCACCAAGCACTGGACAGTAGTCAAGGATGCCAAATACGGCAACGTGCTCCGCAACGATATCCACGGTGAAGACCGCGACGGCTGCGAAGATCCCTCGGATCCTACTGATGTGCGTAACCGCAACGAAATTACATGGTGGACTGATGATGTCGAAACCAAAATGATGCGGGCGGCGTACGGCGATACGCGCTCGTACAGATGGAACCTCAAGGTGCCGAACGGCACACAGAGTTCTGAGCAGAAATCGTTCTATGTGTTGGGGCAGATAAAAACTCGGGAGGGGGGCGACCGGTCCCCGGTGATGTCGTTGGAGTTGCGCCACGAGGAGCTGATTGTGTCGGCCGGTATACGTCCCAAGCAGCCATTTGACGAGGATATCGCGCTGGTCGCGCTGTCGCAGATATGGGACAAGTGGGTTGAAGTGACCATTGTGATTTACTTTCACGAAAACGACGGCTATATGAAATTTCGCATTGCGGACGCCGGCACTGGTGCTAATCTCGGCGAAAAAGAACTCGGAAACATTGACTCGTGGCAGAGTGGCGACCTTCCAGCCCGAATATGCCGGACGGACGACGAGCATGTTTATAGGAGATATTCACGCATACGACTACGATGTACTTTTGACTCCCCCCAAAAGTGCCAGTGTCGCATCCGCCGTAATATGGACATATGGCCGAGGATAAGTGTTTGTACCTGGAGTGTACCACTTTTTTATCTATTTATTTTTTGTTTATTTGTTTTCTGTTTATTTTTTGAAAACAATCGTGAAGTAGTTTCAGTCTGCAGGTGATAATGCTGACCCCCGACTTTTCAACGGCGGGTAAAAAGTCTGCAAAAGCAGCGTTTCGCTGTACGATAATTTCTCGGCCCTGATTCTCACAGAGATTACGTGCATCAAAGTACAAAACGTCGCTGGGTATATAGAATCGGGGCACGGTATCGCCACTCGAGTAAATCCCCACATCGGTGGTGCAGGGTGTGAACCTGTAGTTCACGAGCACACCAACGTGTGTGGGATCAATTGCATTCGTTGTGCTATAAAATATCCAGTCCAATTTCCACCGCCACTGCCAAGGCTGCTTGGTGCGGACCAGTTGGTCGGTGTTTGCGATGTACGTCATTACGCATTCCCTGGAGCCGATTTCAGCCTGTTCGGCAGCGTCTTCAGCGTCTGGCATAGCGTGTCCATCTGAACACTGTTCTCTACATAGTCGTGGTAGTACACCTCAATATCCAACGACATATATGCAGTGTTCGACCCTAGTTTATCGAGTACGGCGGAATACAGATTTGAAAATTTCCCCATTTTTATTTATTGTGGTTCAATAGTGTCCAGCATGGGATCGCACCACCGCCTATTTTTTCAACCTTTGATATCGCTGTCCAGTAAATATCTTTCAAGGTCCCTTTCACGACTGTTGTATCCCACTGCGTGGCACGCTGTACATTGCCTCCTCGCTGCCACACTAAAATAAATAAATGTTTTGTCTTTTTTCAAGGCATAAATGACGGCCGAAATAATAGCGGTAGGGGTGGGGATATTCCTGATTCTGGTGTTTGTGCTGGTATTTCTGGGTTTCTATTTTGGGGGGGGAGGGGGATCCAGCTCCAGCAGCGCCACTACCGTTGTTGTCCCCAGTGTTATTATTGGTGGTACTAATACAACAGCTACAACCAAAGATGATGGTACGGCCACAAACACCACGACTACGACTGAGGAGGATACGGCTAGCTCGTGCTGTCGGCCTCCGATACGTCTGAGGCCAGTGTCAAGGCGGCCGTGGAGAGAGCCGGTATGCGAATCGAGGACTACAAACAGACGCACGACTTTGATCACTATGCGAGTGTGCTGGACTCGCACCTCAACGAACAAGTGATGGAATTTACGCTGCACACCAACGACTCCAACGGCGCCGTAGACTCTCAGAGGCCGCGCAACGAGCTCACGGGACCGCCCGACGGGCCCAGCGCCACGTCGCTCAAGGTCAACGATCGCACATTCAGTACACGTTTGCGCTCAAGATCGTGTCTCCCATGGACACCGAGGGCAGCTCGCTGCACCTTTACCAGGTGTTTAACAACGGGCCGATCGCTGTGCTGACGGTCAACATGAACATGGTGGCGCAGTTCCACTCTCCCGGGACGTGTTCGACAACATTGATTTGTTCAAAGTCAAGGAACACTTTGACAAGTGGTACATGTACACGATTACGGCAAGGTTCAGCAAGACGGCTCCATCGCTGGAATTCTCTGTAAAGTCTCTAGGTCACTCGGGAGCGGACCCACTGGCGGCCGTTAAGCCGCCGCTCAAAAAGGACATGGCCATTGCCAGCGGCAGCTACCTGAAGCCCAAGGTTGGGCTGTACTTTGTGAGAGACACGGGGCCGAAAGAGACGTTTACAACACGAGTATCCAGATTCAGATGCCGTTTGCTAGACTAAAGATCCATTTTTACTTGTGGTGGTCGTCGCCTAGGCGGCGACACACGCCCCACCTTGTTCATAATCAGTTCATCGTACTCGTTCGACAATATACCAAGCGCCACGCGGCAACTGAATGTCCGACATTTCACACCCACTCTGTCGAGAATAACAGGCGCCAGACGCCTATTTTGTAGTACCATCACAAGTTCGTCTATATGCTGGAGAGACGCTGCATTTGTTCTCTGTACACTCTCCCCCAGAACGTGTGTACCGTATGAGTCAAATACCCGCGCCTTTTCGCGGACTACTAGGAACAGGTTCTGTTTGAGCTCGGCAAACGTCTTGTTGTATTTGCTGTCGCCGCCACATTTGTCTATAAAGTGCGCAATAACCGACGCCAAATCTATAAATTTGGCTGGGAACATCCCTTTGTTTTCAAGCATTTCCCAGCGATAATCGACCAAGAACTCCCCATACGCTGGATTGATGGAAAAGTAAGGGTTACGCATCAACATGGCAACCATGGGAAAATGGTAATTAATTTCGGCAGAATTCATCGACCACTCGTACATTTGGGGATCAATGTCTGAAAACTGCAGCATAACCATCTCTACATAGTCAGGGTCATTAGTCCGCACCGCTTTGTACAAGGCTAGCTTCGGGTTGAGGTACGGAACTACAAGTTTTGCCATTTCGGGCGTTGAATGTTTAAACACTTTCCGCAATTTGTCGTATAGTTGAATGTGTGGTCCCATTGCCCGTGCAAAGTCGATGTCCGACTGTTCAATTGCCATTTTAACTAGTCGCTGTGCATAATTCACTTCGGGCAGATTGCGCAAGATGCAGGGTATCATGTCCAGGCGCGTGTGCACGTTGTTGAACGTTATGCTCTCAGTCTCCACATTTGGATGACGCAAGAACGTGTCCAGGATCTCAATCGTTCCGTACTGGTAGATGTCTTGTTTCAACTCCATACTGGAGTACTCGAACAAGAGCGTATCTCGCAACCTCTGCGGAGTGGCGTCATCCCCCTCTAACGCGGGAGGTGGACCTAACTTTGCGGCCTCGTCTTGCCCGACGAGATGAACAACCATAGTCATTGCGGCGTGTTCATGTGCAACCTTTGCCAGTATTGAACGATCATAGACACTGTCAAAGTTGGGATGATTCAGGAAACATTGCATCCTTTTCACGTTCAAGGTTTTGGCCACGGAATTCACGGCTGCACGGACGCGACGGTCATCCAAGTCGAGAAAGTTCATGATTGTGGAAAGCATTTCAACATCAACATTATCTACAACTTATTCGAGCTGATCCTTATAATTTATTCCTCGCAAATTCAACAGTAAACGCACTATCACTGGTGCGTATCGCTTTTTGCTTTTCAGAAATTTCCGCAGAAGACGCGCGATGTCCACATTGAAAATTTTAGGGGGGAAAGCCTCTACAATATCCCATCTGTTCCGTTCGATTGCCACCTCCAATATATCAGACGAATCCGTTGTAATGTTTTTCAAAGCAATACCTAGTACTCTGTTCGAAACTGATGGGAATTTTGTCAAATGTTGGTTTTAGTTCCGTGTGTATGTATGTGTGTATGTGTGTGTATGTTTAAGTGTTATTTATCTATAAACAAAAAAAGTAAAACCCCTTTCTTTATTATTAAACAATGACACTATACACCCGCTGGGCAAGTGGGTCAACAAACAGACAACCGGGGTTCTTGACCTGGAGACCGTAGAGTTGCCGGCGTCGATCAGTCAGCTTGTGCACCTTGGCCTGGCAACTCTTAATTGACTCCAACAAACCGCTTCTTCTCACACCGCGGCTGGACTCTGCGGCGGCAGAACTGCGTGGTCTTGCGGTGAAATGTGTTTGCATTTGCGGGCCCAAACTGGCTCTTTGGTCCAACGTACGGATGCAGGATAAACCCAGACTCGGCCATTCCAGACAGCGTTTTCAGCTGCGTCTGCGTCAGGCTGCCGCTTGGATTGTGCGTCCCCACCACGTAGCGTTCCTGCACATGGCCTCGCGTGTATTTAAACTTGCCCTTGCCTTTCGCCGCCGGGTTAATGCTCATCTCAAAGTGCACCACCCCAGCGGCCCAGCACACAATGTCGCCGGGCTCGGGGATTACAATGGCATCCACGGCCTCCAGCTCATCCACTATGGCGTCAGGGTTCGACAGTGAGGTAAAGCCTGCCGTGGACTTGTCCCGGTACATGGCTGAGATGTCTGGCTGGTGCGTGGCCCGTCCAAACACCAGGCGTACATTGCCCTTCCTGTATCCAATGACCATGGCCTGCACACGATTAAATGATTCCGAGGTGGTATAGTCGTCGACGTGAGGCACGGTCATGGCACCCCGAAAGGTCTTGAACGAATTCTGAGACATCATATCGCTCACATTTTTCGTGACCTGGAACAGGATGGCCGTGGCCAGTTCGCTGTCTGGATGGTCCATCACCGCCAGATTAGCCAGACCCAGGGGCAAACACGGTTGGCTCGGCGTCTAGCTCTTGCAGTTTGGTTGCATGATAGTCCGCCTTGGCTTCTGGCTGCGCATACAGAAATCCAAATCACTTGTTGCCGACAACTCCCGTGGGCCACAGCACCTTCTGCTGAGCCCCATGTACATCGTAGATGGTCTTGGCCGCATCAACCTTTGCCCCATGGGCTGCCGTATCAATGCTCGGCTTAATGTCGCGCTCCCATGCGCGGTACGCTGCCGCTTGCCCGGCCGCACAAGCTGCGCGTGTAATACACCCTCGGATAATCAGCACGCCATTGTCCTTGAGCGCCTGGCGCGCCATCTGAACCGCCTCCGTACACGAGTCTCCCGTAAATTGGTCCCTCGTAGTAGGGGGGGGGGGGGGGGGGGGGTCGGTACGGTCC